ATGACCTTTTTGTCACCCGCTCCCTTAACCTACTAGCATATACAGAAACCTGGCTCCAAGCAGCAGATTCGGCTTCTCCCGCAGCACTTTCCTATGGAGGCCTCATCTGGACCCACTCACCCAGACCCAGTGGTCGGAAAGGTGGAGGAGTTGGTTTGCTTCTATCCCCACTGAGCATCTTTCAAGTCCTCCCTAACCCTCCCTCTCTATACTTCTCTTTTTTCGAGACTCACTGCATCCGGCTGTTTTCTCCCATTTCTCTGAGGATTGCAGTGATCTATCGGCCTCCTGGACCGGTGTCCTGCTTTCTTGATGATTTCTCCACCTAGTTACCCTACTTTCTCTCCTCTGAACTACCCACTATCATTCTCGGAGATTTTAACATCCCCATTAATGTCAACAACCCGGCTACATCCCAACTCTTCAATATAACCTCATCTTTTGCATTAGCACAATGTATACAGTCCTCCACTCACTCTGATGGGAATACATTAGACCTTGTTGTCTCCTGTCTTTGCACTCCCTACAACCTCACAAACACCCCCTTTCCTCTCTCTGATCACAATCTCATCACCTTCACAGTCTCCTCGTCTTCAAACGCCTATTCCTCCAGCAGGCAAACAATTTCTTGCAGAAACCTTCACAACTTGAACCCTGCTCCTTTCTGCTCTGCAACTGACCAACTCTATGACAGAATCTCTCCCCTGTCCTGCCCTGCCCTGGCCACTGCTGTCTATAACAGTTCTCTTTCATCCGCATTAGACTCGCTTGCTCCTCTAACAACAGGAAGCATCAGGCCCGACCGTTACAACCTTAGCAGACTGACGACACCAGAAATCTTAAACGACATAGTCGTGCGCTGGAGCGATTGTGGCGTAAAGCCAAATCTCAACAAACATTCACCCTATATAAATCTGCTTTTTTAACATACAATTCCTCCCTTCATGCTGCCAAACAAGCCTACTTTGTCACTCTTATTAATACCTTGTCATCCAGTCCTCGTCGTCTCTTCTCTACTTTTAACTCTCTACTTTCTCCACCTCCACCCAGTACCTCACTCACTGCTCACGAGATTGCAAATCATTTCAAAAACAAGATTGACGCAATTCATAGGGGCATTGCCACTGCACAGACATCCATCCCACTTAGCATACCTTATACTAAACCTCCCTCAACACTTTCCTCTTTTGACCTTGCTACTACCGAAGAGGTCACTAAGGTTTTCTCGGAAGCCTGTCTCACTACCTGCCCCCTGGATCCTGTCCCCTCGCAACTACTACGGTCACCCTCTTCTTCCATCCTATGCTCCCTCACTCACATCTTCAATCTTTCCCTCTCTACTGGTGCCTTCCTCTCCCCTCTAAAGCATGCACACATCACTCCCATACTTAAAAAGCCCTCCCTGGACCCCACCAACCTGAACAACTTAAGATCCATCTCCCTGCTGCCATTTACCTCTAAACTCTTAGAACGCTTAGTCTACAATTGCCTGACCACCTCACCAACAACAAACTTCTTGACCCTTTACAGTCTGGCTTTCGCTCACTCCACTCCACTGAAACTGCCTTACTAAAACTCACTAATGATCTACTAACTGCTAAAACCAATGGCCACTACTCCGTACTCTTACTACTTGACCTCTCTGTGGCTTTTGATATGGTTGACCATCCCCTCCTCCTCAAAAACCTCCACTCTCTTGGCCTCAGAGACTCTGCTCTCTCTTGCTTCTCCTCCTACCTATCGCAGCGCTCCTTCAGTGTTAACTATAATGCTGCCTCCTCCTCTTCACTCCCTCTTTCTGTAGGGGTCCCTCAAGGTTCTGTCCTTGAACCCCTTCGCTTCTCCATCTACACCTCCTCCCTTGGTCACTTGATAAACTCCCACGGTTTTAAGTACCATCTCTCTGCTGATGACACACAAATCTATCTTTCTACCTCTCACCTCACCCCTTCAGTCTCCACTCGCATTACTAAACGTACTAAGTGACATATCGGCATGGATGTCACTCCACTTTCTCAAACTCAATCTTTCCAAAACTGAGCTCTTAGTATTCCCTCCAGCCCGTGCCCCCTCCCCTGATTTCTCCATCAAGATCAATAACACAATCATCAGTCCCTCCCCTCATGCCAGGGAGCTAGGTGTAATCCTAGACTCCCATCTGTCCTTTCAGCCCCAAATCCAATCACTATCCAAATCTTCTAGACTTCACCTACGCAACATCTCCAAGATACGCCCATTCCTAACCTCGGAAACCACTAAGCAACTTATTCACTCCCTTGTTATATCTCGCCTTGACTATTGTAACTCGCTCCTCATTGGCCTACCTCATCGCAGGCTATCCCCTCTTCAGTCTATCATGAACGCTGCTGCCAGACTCATCCACCTTACTAACCGTTCTGTATCTGCCACCCCTCTCTGCCAATCCCTCTACTGGCTTCCCGTTGCCCAACGGATAAAATTCAAAACACTACCAATAACATATAAAGCCATTTATAACTCTGCCCCAAATTACATCACCAACCTTGTCTCTAAATTCCACCCAAACCGTACTCTCCGCTCCTCGCAAGACCTCCTGCTCTCTAGCTCTCTTGTCTCCTCATCTCATGCTCATCTCCAGGACTTCTCCAGAGCTTCCTCTGGAAGTCTCTACCCCCAATTTATCAGACTATCGCCTACTCTGCTCACTTGTAGGCAATCTCTGAAAACCTATCTCTTCAGGGAAGCCTATCCTGCCCTCAGCTAATACTGGAATCTTCTACTCTTCCAACCAGTCCATCCCCCACAGTTACTACCTTTTGTACCACTAGCCCCTCCCTCCTAGATTGTAAGCTCCAAAGAGCAGGGCCCTCAAATACCTCTTGTATTGAACTGTATTGTTGCTGTATTGTCTCCCGTTATATTGTGAAGGGCTGAGCAAACTGTTGGCGCTATATAAATCCTGTATAATAATCATAATAATACTCTGTAAGGCAGAATTCATTTGTCTGTAGATTGTAAAGCTCCCCCGCCAAATCCCCCCTCTTAGCACAAATCCCCAACTCCACCCTCCTAGCACAACCCATCATCCCAAATCCCTCACCTAGCACAACTTCTCCCCCAAATCTCCCCTTTTTCCTAGCACAAATTATGTCCCTAGTATAGCGACATCAGCAGGGGGGTGGAGATAGCCAAGAGAGCCATAGATAACTCACAGCACTCACATGCACCCTATATTCCACGCTGACAGCTGAAAGAACCAAACCTAAAAGGTATCAGTTTTTAGTATCTGAGCATTTGCACAAGTACCGATGCTCATGCAAATGCTCAGTATCGGTATTGGTATTGGTGCCAATATCGGTATCGGTATTGGTGCAACCCTAGTGATTACTAATAGAAGAGTGACAGCAGAAAATAACCAAATGGTCCATTGAGCTTGCCCCATTTTTTTTTAATATGTTTTTTTTTACATTTTAATCTCTTGAGAATTATAATGTTTTCTATTACTTCAGTGACTTCTGAATGCAAGCAATCCTTCCATTATGCACACATACAGTAAATCTAGTTATAAATTGGTTGAGGAGCTGCTGTTTTCTTAGTTTTTATATTTGATGAGAAATGAGAACTGTTCATGTGTCTTTTGCTAGACTAGATTACTGAAGATTTATTAATTGTATTTGGTGTATTAAATGTATGGTGCTCTTCATGTTAGAGGAGGATTATAGTAGGATTGCATTATGCAAATGTTTGTGACTAAGACCTGTGCTCTTTTAGTGATAAAAAGTGTAGGTAGATTCTTTTCTTAAGGGCTAGTGGGAATGAATTTAGTTTGGCATTATATTTTACAGCAAATTGCAGGCAAGATTTAGGCTTCAACAGGTTCTCTTGGGTTTTTCGCGGTCCTATGATATATTTTTTTTTTTGGTGGAAGAAAATTACTGAGAAACCCTGCTCTAAAATATGTTTTACTATGGAAAGTGATCACAGGTAATTACACATAGTAACGTATAATTGTGACTTGGGAAATTGACTAATGAATAAGTAAATCAGCTAAAAAGGAATTTGTACAGCTGTAACTATTTAATGGCAAATACATTTACTTAAAATCCATCACAGGCATGTCAAGACAAGTCGGATTCTAAACCTCCCCCAGCCCTCTAGAGCAGTGATTCTTAACCACCAGCCTGTGGCCCACTGCAGGGCCTTCCTCCTTCTTGTCCTCCAGGCAACTCCCCTAGAGCCCCTAACCTTCTACAGTGCCTTCCAGCTCCCATAGTGCCTCAACCTCCCCTAGTGGCCCCCAGTCCCTCTGAGAGCCTTCAGCATTCACAGTGCCAACCAGTCTCCCACAGTGCCATCCAGCACCATGCAGTGTCCCCTAGCTTGCTGCAAAACCTCTAGCCCTCCATAGTGCCACCATCTTTTAACAGCGGCATCCAGCCCAAGCAGGACCCTACAGTCTCCCACAGTGCTCCTGAAAAGACTCCTAAAGAGACTTCATCCCCCACATTAGCACCCAGCTCCCTCTAGAAACCTCATTCCCTACCGGGCCGTCAAGTCTGCTTTAGTCTCCTCTCTCCAGAACCCCCATCCAGCCACAAAGATATCCATCCCCATATAGAGCCTTCCAGCATTTCAATACATATTTTGTATTCCCATACTATTATTGTGTAAGCATAAACTTTTTTTTTTTTTTTTTTTTTTTTTTTTATATTGGGGCATGGAAGGTTTTGGACCCTGGTCTCAATAAGCTTAAGAATTACTGCTCTAGAAAACCCATATATTTTTAACTTACCTTTATGCTGTTGAGAGGAAATCATCTTTGACGTCTGGTTGATGTCGTTGTTTGGCTTCAGCATCCTCCACGTTCAGAAGGGCAGGGAGGAGGAGCTTGCAGTGTTCCATCATGTAGATGTACCCTCCAAGACTAGTGAAGAGGAAGAGTCTGCAGGGTTACATCATTTAGGTACACCCTACAAAACTGCACACCCAGCACACAGTCGGGTGATTGGGTGATGGGTCTTCTCAACAGGAAATGACTCTGCTAGAGTTAGCAGGCAGTTTTTCCTGATGAAAGAAACCAGAAGCAACCTAAAGAAGAATCGTGATAGCTAGGCTGGGGCACTTGATGTTTGGGACTTCTTGATGTTCATCTGCCACAGGGGCGGACTGACCATTTGGAAACCCGGGCACTGCCCGAGGGCCCGGGGTCAGTAGGGGGCCCCATGAGATGCCCCTGGTACCTTTTTCATAGGCTTTTTTGAGTTTGGGCAAGGACACAGGGAGCCCATGATCCCCTATTGCCTGGGGGCCCCATGAGTCCCCCATGATCATTATTGTTGCCCCCTGTCTGTCACCACCACTCATCTCCACCTCCTTATCTATTCACATTGTGGCAGGGCGAGGAAATGCCACTTTGGAAAATGGCACAGGTGTGTGCTGGGTTCATATTAGAGCCAGGATTAGAGTTCAGGATTCCACTGTCCTGGGAGTGAGTATATGTTGTAAGGGAACAGAGAGGAAAGTGCATGTCTGCACCATTCTGTCCAAGGCAGGAAAGACCAAGGCCGGAGTCTGTAAAAGACGGAGCAGCAGTGAGCTGCAGGAGAGAAACAGAGCTGATAGAGGTACAATATTGGAGCATGAGCACTGGGGTGTGTGTTAGATGGTCTGGAGGGCCAAGGCACTAGGCCTGAGCAGTAGAGCTGTAAAGAGAGCCAGGAGGCTGAATACTACTTTGTATATTTTGATAGTGGAAACCCCTGTGTGGGCAACTGTCTTGTATTAAACTTTTCTTTGCCGTTTTATATCAAAGTGGGCAGAAAAAAGCCCAGAAAAGACACTTCTAGCATGGAGTAAACTCACTGTTTTGCACTACCATATAGTTAAACAACCCCCAAGTTGTCACAACATCAATAGCACCATTCTGAAGGGTAGAATCTTCCTGTTCATTGTCCTGCAGGGTCAATCTCACTGCCTAAGGGTGGCCAAATCGGGCATGCATGCCTGAAGACCCTCTGATGTCAATGGGTGACTTTAGTCAAATGTCAACACAAATATCACCTTTGATGCCAGATTTCATGGTATGACCTCTCATGATATGATGGATGCTTTAGTCGCATGAAAAGCTCCAGCTAATGCTGGAGAGGCTGCAATCTTTAAAAATCCTAAAGACAAAGGTATTCTCTAAATAGCAGAGTATTGACCTATGTTGGCTATGTGTACAAGAAATCATAAATCCTAAACATACAGTTCAAAGGAAGAAAGCCTCATATTTCACAAGCTGTCTTTACATCAGCTTCACTGAGCATTAGGTCACAGGGATGTCACTAAGATTTAAACCTATAAACATGTTAGCATTACAATCTTTGTGGAACATCTTGTGTAAAACAAAATTATAAATCTATCCATATTTCATTGTGTTTATAGGAGGAGGGGAGATTATAGGACCACATACATGATAATCCCATAAAAACTCTCACTCACTTCATGGAGAGATGTGACATATATCAGACTCTGGTGAGCTCTTTGATTTATGACTTCCAAGAAACAAATGATGTACTGCTGAGCTGTGTTTCTCATCGGTGCATCCTCATCTGCTACTTTACTCTAAGAATGTTCCTGTGATCAATGCAGTGCGTGGGTTATGCCCATAAAATAGGTATATGCTACAATATTCTATGTTATATATAGAATGACATAAACAACTAAAAAATTGTTCTTCCTAATGTTTTTGTGACTTTCAGTTTACCTTTGTCAGCATTAAAGTGATCTTAAACCATGTAAGCACATTCATTAGCTGACAATCACTGTGTATTCAGCTTCTGTATCTTTTAATCCTTGCCTATGCTCCTGTGCCATGACTTCTACCCCAGATTTCCCATTCCAGGGTGGTTCCTTTCTTTTGCAGGATCCTGTGGATCCTCCATTGCATACAGGGACTAAAGTTGTGTCTCTCTACACTTTGTACATCAATAGAAACTCACAGGACCAGAAGTTCAGGGAAGCAGCACTATGGAAGCAGGAGCTAACTACATGGAAAAATGTAAACCACAAGTACTAGGGTAAGAATTTACCATATAGTTTACTGATGAATGTTTATTTTTATTACGCCCAATATGTTAAACAAAAAAGCGTTAAGGGTTTAATATTACTTTAATGCACCAGCTCTTATGCCAGAAAATGAAATGTAATACAATACAATATAAATACCATAATGGGCTTTGTGTAAGTGATAATAAGGGGTTTAGTCAGCAGGTTTAGGCACAGGTGTCCTCCAAATCTGTTGTGAGAGGCATCTGCTCTTTCATGCGTTAGAGGTTTTCACATGAGTGATTCAAGATATAAATTGGCCAGGCCTCTTACCTTTCCAAGTTTATATGCATCAAATAATGGCCTTGTTTGCTTGGTCAGGATGGCATAAGTTGCTTCTCCCAATGACAGTAAGTTGAAGGACTTTCCCAACAACCAATGAGAGCTTGCATCCGAATCCTATCAGCAACTATCACTTACAGGCCAGCAAATCCTCTAATTTTCCAGTAAAATGTGGAGGCACAATACCAGCAAACAACTGAATACTTTCACCACCATTTAAAGTTGAACTCCAGGTAGATATAAAAGGCACAGATTAATGTAGATATGTATTCAGAAATACATTGGTATGGATTTTATTTTAAATGCAACTAGTAAGTACCTGAATTTGACTTGGTATCAGCCTCTACAGCAGAGATCAGAATGGGAGAAGAAAGGGCAGAACTGGGAGCCAATCAGGTGTGCTGCATACAAATATGCTGACAAGGAACATGCTAAATGAGGAAGGGAGCAGAGAGATGACCTCATTAGTTTTTGGCTGCTGTTCTTTCAATGCCTAGGCAGGAGGCTTTGGTCTAGAAATAACACCATTGTTGTCCATAAGTGGTGCCATCTATCTAGCTGTGCTATGTTAGAGGACTGTGTAAATCTCAGGACTAGATGGACAGAAATACAAATACGGTGGTAGGTAAAACAGTTCTCATATCCATATTTCATCTGTGTATTTACCTGTCAGCCTGGATTCAGCTTTTAAGTGAACCTGTGCACAGAATAAAATACATACATACTCTGAAAAAGCAGTAAAAAATTGTATTAACCTTTTTACCGATAGACATTGCAAAGAAAGGTTCAGAAAAGGGGCAATAAAAATACCGCTCCTGTCCCATTCTTTTCTATGGCTGCATAAACTCCTCAGCCTGCTTTTTTCTAATGTAAATGTAGCACTACCCTCTTAGGAGTCACTGACGTTTTGGGTCCCCCTATAGTCTCTCACAGCCAGGTAACTTGCATTTTCTTAAGACCTTGCACACAGGAGACAGTAAAACAGTCCTTGAGTTTGTTTGTTTTTGTTTTATTAGTGGGTATTAAACTTGGATGGGGTTGAGGGGTGTATGGGATGCCCAAGGAACAGTAAACAGAGGACAACTCCTTAACAACTATGTACAAGTCCAAAGACAGAAAATTCTCTTCTTGGAGAGTTCTCCAGCCTCTCCTGGCATACCACCCCAGACCCCAGATGAATACTCTTCTCATCTAGCTTTACTGGGTGAATCCCTGTGCAAGGGGACCTGGAATTTGTGTCTTTAAATCAAACAGTCTCAGGTGGGGGCTGGTCAGGTTTCCCATCCGAACGCCCCTTCCCCTCATCTGGCCCAGGGGGTGTAGTACTATTCACTCTTCCTCTTCTGCAAGTTAATCGGGTTGGTGGCTGCCTTCAGGCCTTCCATTGGCCTAGCTCCTTCCCTGCTGCACAGTTGTTCCTCTCTCAGGGGACTTCTGAGGTTGAGAGATCCTTCTTTCAACTTCAGCCTGGACGTAGGCGCCTTCCCACTTGGCCCCCAGGTTCCTGCTTCCAGCCTGTCACTCCATATTGCTTTCAAACTCTCCTGCTGGTGAGCAGGCTCAGTTATACTTAAGAGCTATCCTGACCCCATGCCAAACCTCCTGCCTGGGGATTGGTCGGGATCCCTCAAGTATGCAGATCAGGCCCTCCTCATCCCCACCCACTGCTTTCTAGAAACTTTTCAAGGCTCTAGAGTGGGGGGAGATATCTGCTGATCTGCAGAGCCCTAAGCCCTGACCTAAGATGACCTGGCTGACTCACACCCAAGGTGACTCATGTCCAGGCTGCTACTCAGCCTTCCTCTCTAAAAAAAAAACTAGGTAGCTCCCCCTGGCTAACTAGAAGGGCGCTATATATAAACAAACACCTGGGGCTTATGAGCTGTTAGATTCCAAATAAAACACAATTCCATAGTCTCTCTTATGATCAAGGATGCATTTCTTTACAGTGGCAGCCACTATAAAAGTCAGTAACAGCATGTTTTAAACCTCTTTTGTGAATATCATATGGACCGTGCATAAAAAGTGCAAAGTACAAAAAACTCTGTGACAAAATATGAAAATCAATATTGATACTGATATTAATTATTATTATTATTCAGTCCCAGTAGGTGAGAATAAAGTGCAAATTGCTATTATTCTTGATTGTGAACTCCGTGTGTACATAAAACAGGTGCTCCACTGTGTTCAGACTGGTGCCCCACATTGACTGACACTCACCCTCATCCCGTGATCACCTATCTCTAGGATGGCCGTTTGCACTTTTGGGACTATCCCAGTATGCAGGGTTGCTAATGGTAACCAGTTGTTCCTCCAAAAGTGCTGTATCAATACCAACTCTCTCCTCTCCTTCACAGGCAAAATAAGCAAGTAATCAGCATGTATAAAAAAACAAAAATAGACATTCCATAGTGTAAAACCGCTTTTACTTTAATAGTGGGGACATAACTGTAAGTATTAAACTCACAAGAGAAGTACCCATAACCTGGTGTATTCAGCCTTATTGCTTGTGTGGTGAAAAAATGGCCGCCGCTATGGTGGTTAATCCTCCAGGCGGCGTGTATTCCAAAGGGCAGAAGTGACATCGGCGGAAGTTGCGTCACCAAACCTCGATGCGTTTTGATCAAGGATCGTCTCCAGGAAGTGCAAATTCCACCATTTTGGAGATGGTATTTATACCCTGCAGTCACTCAGCCAATTACTTAGTTACACTGCAGCTGTGTCACTCATTTTATCTGAAATAATGATGATAATGGACTGCAGCATTGCTGAATACAATCAGTAATTGTCAGATATAACTGGGCTAACAAATTTATATTAAAATTACAATGCCGAAGAGCAATGAACAAATTGATCTAATTGTATAGAACAATGGCGTTCTTAAAAGGGAATAGTCCCCTGGAAATTATTAAACAAAAAATTACAATAAAGTAACA